CAATATGATGACGTCACAATGTCCGATCAGCCATTATGATCCTGTCTCTTATACACATCTCCCTATATTTTGACCATGATGACGTCATCAAAATGTGAAAAAGTGTCATATATATGAAAGAGAATTGCCTCAGCTATACCATACTAAAAGGTGGAAGACAAACGACCAAGAATAAGCGAGGTACGCTCAAATGCGCATTTTTTTTAAATGACGTCATCGATAATACTCAGTTTGTTGAATTCAGATGGCAATATGATGACGTCATAATGTCCGATCAGCCATTATGACCTATAAAATCATACTTACAACTGCTGTGGGAAACAATGGCTGGATCTCAGTAGAGATACAAAAATGATAAGCAACAGCTAAAAAGTAAACGTAAGTAAACAGCCAGAAATAGAACCAGAGCTTTCGGACAACACTAGTCCTTCCTCAGCGATTTTTGTCATTATATATATATATAAATGTATATATATATATATACATAAGTATATATATATATATATTCTTTTGTGTAGGTCATCAAATTAAATGATAATTTAAGGATTTTTGTAGTTTTTTTTTTATCTGTGTCTTTCTGGACTTTCTGCAAAGGCTAAATTTTCTAAAGTGTTAAAATTTTAATAAACTAGGTCTTGGGAAAAACTGCAATACACTCTGTTTTTCCTAAGGTCATACAGTAGCTATTCAGTAGGCCTACTATCTAGAAAAGTAAAACAAATAGTAGGTCTACTATTAAACATACGTACACTCTTCAATATGGAGACTGGCTCCTATAGAGGAGCTTGAACTTAACCATCCACACAATATGCTGTACAATGAAGAGTTAAATATTTAAAAAATTCAAGTCAAACTGTGACAAAAATGATATAAATAATTATGATTCTATATTTTCAAACATTATTTGTTCCTCTTTATAAATAATTGGTTCATACTATGGCTGACCTGTATTTTAGATACAATTACCAATTATTTTCTATTTAATCAAATTACTGTACAATATTCTGTTCAGGTATATCCCGTCATATAACATTTTCATCTTTTTGTACTGTTATGTTTTGTATTACGTAAATGCTCGAATAAGCGCCACAGCGTTTATAAAATAATTGAAGGCTTCAGTGCAGCTCTTATTCCTGGGTGGTGCTTATAAAAAAATATTGTTGGGGCGCTTTTTATGCCCTTTTCCATGTTTACTATCTCATGTATTCTTATTCGAGCATTTACGGTATGCTTTTGCTTTTGATCTGAAAAGGAAGTCCAGCAGGAAGAAAGATAGATAAATAAATGATAATAAATATTTTATTTAGAAAATGAAGGGACAGTACTGTAAATTAAACAGCTTACAGCCCGCCTACACCTACAAAACAGTTATTAACTAATTTTAAACTTAGTCGATAATTTAGAACAAAGTGTCTTTATTTTCTGTCTGATAAAAAAGGATTTCAGTTTAAATGTCATATTTTTTAGGGTATTTTGGCTTCTAAGTAGAAAGTATGTAGTTTTTATTAGGAAAATTGACCATGCAGGAGCTATTGTTGGTGATCTTTCTAATGAAAAATATCTGTGTATGAATACATTTTACAGTTATTAAAAAAGGGCTGTAAATAGGAATTTACAACATGAAATAAGTCCGATATTTTCACTCATTTGGTTTATGTAACATAATTATGTATTAAGATAATGATCACATCATATTCATTTAATTAATTAAATAAATATGGACACATCATATTGATTTGATTAACATGCTTCATGCTTATTCCCTTAGGAAATTCTATAGGGCACATACATCAGTACCAAGGTACATAAATTCCAGTCCAATGCTACGCGTTATTAAGAATTTGTATTCATCTGATAAGCTAGTCTTTGAAGAACGACAACGTGCAATCAACGAGGTTTAAGATCATTTTCTATGACTGCTCCTAACATTTAGAATGACCTTCCACTATCAGTTTCGTCTGCTGCAGCCTCGTTTAATTACTGTTTAAATTCTGTCTCAAAATACTTTTTTACATCTTGGATGAGAAATGTGTTTTTGTTGCTTCTTTGAATTGGAAGCTGCTGTGCCTTAAGCTATGTACATAGGCATAAAATTAGTTAAATCTAATTTTATACCTCCATGCTTGAACATAGTTTTTTAAGCGAAAAGAAAAAGTAATAATATTAGTAATTGGTACAGTATATGGTTAAATATAATATGGTAATAAATAATAATATTGATATTTATAATATATTTATTTTAATTCATTTCCTTTTGGATCCATAATTTATTTCAAATAATATTGATAATAATAAATAACTAGATATGCAAATGTAAATAATAATAATAATAATATAATGATGTTTATGATGATGATACAATCATTTTGATATATTGTATCAATAATGATAATGATTTATATTAATTATGTTAATGGATCAGTATTCTAATTGCATGTACTGTAATACAACACAGAATTAAGAATAAAGCGTGCCCATGAACATTCAAAGGATTACTGTCCCTCATCGAAAGACGAATAAACTTTAGCAAGACTGATAAATGTCTTCGGAATTTGATTAAGTGACGAGCAAGCGTTCTTCTAATGTTAGATCTCGGAGTTGTATTATCATCGGAAATTGCGCGCTCCCTATTTTCTCATAAATAGAAAATAATATAGGTCGACCAAGTACAGTTCTGTGTATGCTATTGAGTGCTGTACTCTTCAGAATCACTTAAAAAAGCCATTTGATAGAAATTAGTCTTCTTAGCATCAGAAAAGTCGAATCATGGGCATACTGTACTGTAGTACATAATAAGACCTTTCCTAGTACCTTGTATTATTTGGAATAAGAATAAAATAAATAAAATAATAGTTTAATTGTTAATTGTAATTTTACAAGTAATAATAATCTTTCCATTCTCTGTTATTCTTTTATAATAATCATACAAGTTTGTTTTTAATAAAATATTGTTGCTCAAAACAAAGCACCTACAACAAATAGTGAGGACAACAGAAAAGACGACAATTTATTATGATCATTATGATAATAACAAATTTTGTGAGGCTATTGTTTCTATTAAATTTGATGGAAGTAGGTGAGGTAATCAACATTAATACCAGTACTTTCATTGATTATGTAAATTATACAGTACACTATAATAACAGAAATTTATCACAGGAAGAAGTATGGCTCCTAGTGTATAATTTATACAATGGTGGTAATACAATTAGTATTTATCTGTCCAGCATATTTGATAAATAATAATAGCTTACGAGCAGAAACAATGCGCTAAGTTTAATAGGTGAATGATGATTAGAAATTTTAGTTTCAGATTACTTTAAATTGTCGTAACATAATAAAAATGCAATATGAGGTATGACGTTTTAGGTGTCTTAGAAAATCTTGAATATAAAGCAATTTTTTCAATTATATTTTTCTTTTGACTGAGAATAGATTCTTCAGTGTGTGATTGATTATGTGGGATACCAGATTATTTATACTATTTAAAGATGATAAAATATATTTTAATAAAAATTTGAATATATTGGGCATTTTTTGCATTGTAGTCAATGAAGACGGTAGAGTATGTGGATGTTTTCAAGCGTTAACACCTGACCCAGGATAATCATCCAGGCATCTTATAATCATTATTGTGGTTGAGACATTAATTATTCATAAATTATTCTAAGATTATATATTTATGTCTTTATTATAAACTATTTCCCACCTCATTTTCCACCTTACTTGCAAAAATGATATATGTCTAATAGTCCTTAATGCTAAGCTCATAGTGCGCATCACATACCCCGGTCAGTGGATCAAACACGTTGGAACACATGTTGATCCCAGGGGGAGTATTTCATAATGCCGCAGTAGTTAAAGCAGTACATTCGCATTACAACCTACCAGGTACCCATTTATACGAGCGAGAATATGAGGATTAAGTGCCTTGTCCAAGGACACAGGAAAAGTAGCCAACATCAAGATTTGTACCATCTGTTTGGTGAAAGTCATTTGAACAGCAATGTTTTTAGATAATGTCAACTCGCATAAGAAAGTATAATACATACTCCCAAGTATTGAAGTGTACGCCATCGTCTTGGGATTCATCTCGCATTGTGTGTAAGACAAAAAACAACATTTGGGGAGGGCATGCCCCCTTCTCCCCTTGGTGTTCGTGACTTT